CTTCTATCCATATCTATAAAGAACTGTCACAACTCAACAATAAGAAAATAACCCCCTTTTTTTTTTTTTTTTTATTCCAGGGTATTGTGAAGGTACAAACATTATGGTTACACTTTATGTCTTTGCCTCACCCAAGTGCGGGTTAAAGGAATGCCCTTCCCCCCCATAGTGCTCCCTTTAGTTGTGGATTTTAAAATGGGCAAAATGAACAGCATCTTCACCAAAGAAGACATACAAATGGCCAATAAGCCCATGAAAAGATATTCAACATCATTAGTCACTAAGAAAATGCAAGTTAAAACCACAATACGATATGCTAGAGAAGGCAGAGAAAAACTGGAACCTCATACTATTCTAGTAAGAATACAAAAAGGTACAACCACTTTAGAAAAAAGTGTGGCAATTTCTTATAATTTAAGCACACACTTATGATCCAGCAATTCACCCCAAGATATTTACCCAAGAGAAATTAAAACACATGTCCACAAAGGTTTGTATACAAATATTTATAGCAACTTCATTCATGATCACTAAAAATAGGAAAACAACTCATGTCCAATAACTGGTGAATGGCCAAACAAATTATGAATCATCAATGCAGTGGAATACTATTCAGCAATGAAAAGGAACAAACTACTGATAAATGCAACAACATCTCAAAAGCATTATGCTAGGTGAAAGAAGCGAGACACAAAGGGCTATGTACTGTTTGATTCTTTTATAGCACATTCTGGAAAAGGCAAAGCCATAGGTAGAAATTAGACAATGGTTGTCAGGAGCTAGGATTGAGGGCAGAGACTGACTGCAAAGAGGCATGAGGGGACTCTTGGGGATGATGGAAATATTTTGGATCTTGATTGTGATAATGGCTATGTAACTATATATGCTTCTCAAAACTCAAAGAACTGTACAACTAAAGTAAGTGACTTTTCCTGTATCTGAATTATGTCTCTTTAAAAAAAATAATAAAGTGGAGATTCTGGCTTGCAATAAATATATATCTGCCAACAGGAACTTTTCAGGCATTTTCTTTAATCCTCACAATAGCCCTGTATGATCGATAGGTATTACTATCCATATTTTATAGAAAGGAATCTGATACTTGGACTTGGAAAAGTTATGAAATTTCCCAAGGCCAGACAAATAATAACAGGGAGAGGTATGATGCAGAACTATATAAAATACAAAAAAAAGAATTATTTTTGAAGTTAAGTTCAGAATGTGTACTGAAATATCCCATCTTACTTCTGACCCAAGGGTTGTCCAGAGGAAAGGAATACTTAGAGAACCAGCAAGGGTGATTCATAAACTGAATAATCCACTTGCAAATAACTGAGGCTTGACCATGTATGTCAATCCATGGTTATTATGTTGGTCCTGCATCTGCTGAATTGAACATTTTATTTTCTTACCCAAAACATTTCTGTGTCTTGAGAAAAATACACAAGCCTAGAAAACGTTTCATAAAAGATCAACCAAAAGAGGAAACTAATGGGGGTTGATATATAGTTAATTTTTTTAAGTTAATACTCATTCTAGAAAATGGAGAAAGCATATTGTTTAAGGCCATAAAATCATGCAGTACACATTAAATTGGGTATAAATGAGTCAGAGGCATTGTTCATCAAATCCTGGTTGAAATATCATAACTCTTTAAATAAAGCTTGAGCAAATAGTTTAAAAATGTTATAAAGTGTAGTGAAGTGTTATAAAGTGTAAACGTTATAAAGTGTAATAGTGTTCCACAAAATAGGGATTCAGGCAAATTCAACTTGGATGCACAACTTCCCACTTTACCTCAGTTTCCTAATCTGAAAAATGAGACTACCTTCCCTGAGCAATGTGAACACCTTCCTTCCATGGCTATTTTCAGGATGAAAGTTAATGAGCAGTTCTGGATACATTTTAAGGACTCTATAAATTGTAACTAATTACCATTATTAATATTAGTAATTGTCATTATTCTCTTCTGTAGGCAGTAGTATACTTTGGGAACTTATTACCTCATGAAGTTTTAAAATATCAGGGTAAATGTTTTACACATGGGTGTTTAATGAAGTACAGATGTCTTGATACCTTCTTAACCTTTTAGTATTAGCACTATGGCGAGCAGCTGTCTTGCTGAGTCATCTTTTAGAGCCAGTATCATGCCTTATCTGAGCCTAAGGAAGGTAACAATCCGGCCCAGAATGGCATTTCTTCTTATACACCCATGTGTTTTCATCGATAATAGGTTCTGTGGCATTGAATTTTTAAAATTTGTTCTTAAAACTTGCTGGCCTTTATAAATCAAAAGTTAAGACCTGCAATTCAGAGGAGGTGTGATGTTCATTTTGTCATTCACATTTGGACCTCTGAATGTTTCCATTCAGTCTTCATCAATTAACATATATGGTGTCTCTCTCCTTCTGGGAGACATGTGAGCTTTTTTTTTTTTACCTCAGTTTACCTTAGTTGGAGATGCTCCAGAGCATGACCACCTATCCCTTTGAGATACACCCAGAATCCCCTGAACAGAACATGGTTTATAACCATCTCAAACATCCCCTTCAAGTTTGGTGAAATCTTCCTAGTTGTCTTCTTGTGGTGCAGCAACAAACAGTAACAGAAACTTAATTTTATTTTCATAGGTTTGACCTACACTCTTGTGCCTCTTAAATTATTTTTCAGTACTTTCTATATGCAAGCCAATCTTAACGTCTCTGGAAGACTGATGATTTAATTCCACTACAATAACTGGTCCTTTCTTTTTGTCATGAACGTATTGTCTGTCGCAGAGAATGAACATTGGTTTACGGGCATTCTTGGTCATAGCTGACAGCTTGCAGCAGAAGGATGGGGAACCTCCCATGCCAGTTACAGGAGCCGTTCTCCCTTCAGGAAACACACTAAGAGTAAAGAAAACATATTTGAGTAAAACGCTAACTGAAGAGGAAGCCAAAATGATAGGTGGGTTTCAAACATATGTTATCATAGAACTGAGCTTATTGTCTACCGCCATACCACCCTGAACATGCCTGCTTTCAGAAGCTAAGCAGGGTCGGGCCTAGTTAATACTTGGATGGGAGAACTGAGCCTTATTAAGCCCTTAAAGTAACCAATAGATACTTATCTTTAGTAAGATGCATTTTTAAAAAAATTTTTAGAAAAGTAGCTAATGAGACATTCCAACATTAATTGTTTTGATTGATTCATGCTGTGTTTTGTTTTACTGCCCTTTAAACTTTTTGGAACTTCCTGGTAAATATTTTGCCATTTAAACGTTAGAAATTTATTTATGGTCTTTTCAAACCTGTCATATTGATTATCTACATTTTTCAGTACATTTCCAAGACATCTATGTGCCTTGGTAGATAAACCTGTTTACAATTCATTCATTCATTTTTATAGTTCATTTTCTTCTTTTTTTCTCAGTAAAATTAGTCTAATCTATGTTGTAAACATGCCAAATCCCACAACATGCTAGGTTATATTGTGAGTCTAGACTACTATGACATTATTTTCTTTTTAATTTAGCTATCTTAATCCAAGGAGGTGATTTTTTCCATTTGTTTATGTCTTACCAAGTACCCAAATGTAGACACCTACTACACACTTTGTCAAGATAGTTCTGGATTCCAAAAACATGAGGGAAACACATGAAGAAACTTTCTGCTTTAAAATATTTATCTTAGTTATGCAATGCTTAAATGAGTTCAAAAAGATTTAATGTTTGAGAAATAATCATTAATAATTTCTTTAAAGTACAAATTTTAAATACAAAGCTATTTACTTTCATTTGTATTATATATGAATATGTATTTTATATAAATAAATAATATAAAACATATGCTACACACATTTATATTCCATTGTAGGACACTGATGCTGTGTTTAATGAGAGCAGTAAAAATAGTATAGCTCAAATACATTTCCTCCAATTTAAAATTTATGATGTGAAGTCATTTTACTTATTTTATTAAAAAAAATCCACACATATATTTCAGACAATAATATAAGGTTTTCAAAATCAGAAGCCAAAATGAGAATTATCTTTTAGTCATATAACCACTATTGATGGTGAATTTTCTTATGCTAACCAGAAACTTAAAAATTCAAAAGTAAAATTTTGTATTTTCTTGTTATTTTAACTCTTCTGGAAAATATTTTCCACCGAAGTATTAGAATTCCTGTTAATTGAATTTAAATGATTATTTGGTGAACACCTGCTAAGCGCAAGGCACTATGCCAAGAGCCATGCAGATGAGATTGAATCAGACTCAGCCCTTCTGCTCAAGGAAGTTATTGATTCTTAGGGTTTCCAGTAAAAAATGTCATAAAGGATAAATAAACCAGGATATCCTTTGATAGACTTAGTCAAAGGTATAACTATAATGCATGTTTTTCAGGCATGTCCTTATATTACTCTCAAGTACGAAAAGCTGTGGACAATATTTTAAGGCACCTTGATAAAGAAGTAGGGCGGTGTATGATGCTGACTAATGTCCAGATGTTAAACAAAGAACCCGAAGACATGATCACGTGAGTACAGTGAGGATTGAGGATTAAGTTATTGACGAAGGTTCGTTAACCAAAAGACACAAGTAGAAATTCTTCTCATTTATTCTGTATTTTGTTCTCATCTTCCTAGAATCAGAGTTCTGAAAAGTAGTAAGGATAGTAAAAAAAAAAACTTTGGCAATATTTGGTTAACTATTAAAATAAGGTCATGCCTGTGATTGATCTATTGTGGCTATATCTCAAGTATCGTTAGGTTAGTGAGTTAGAAAACGGGGCCTACAACTCACTGGTCCACGTTTTTCAGAAGTAACATTTTGTTCCCAAACTCTATCACAGCCCACGTGATATAGTGACAGCCCCAATTTACAAACATTCCATCTTTATAAATCTCATCACAGTTCCTGCTCAACAGCTTCTATGCAACTGTGTCATAGATTTAAGAAAGCATTTGTAGCTCTGAATGTAGAAATCAAATGTTCTTAGCCAAAATCTAAAGATCTAGACTTGGAATTAGAACGTGTATTCACTATTTTTGATTAATTATGGCAGGAACTAGCATTAGATTATAATTCTCTATTTTAAGAAAGTTTGGACTTCCTTGTTGGACTATGAATTAAATGACATTTGACAGCTATGGCATAAACTTCCCAAAATATAATTAGGGAAGTTTCCTTTGTCACCCAGCATATCCCGCCCCAATACCAAAATTAATCTGAAGATTATTACCTATATAGAGAAGTTGATATTGTGGATGTGCATTTTTATTACATTGGTAACATAGGCTCATGATTAAAACAAAGGCAAAAGAATTGTTTTAAATACACATTTAGTAGTATCTAAATTAAGATGAAAACCTCCTTAGAGCTCCACTTGAAATCTGCAACCATTCTCTGGCTCAATGTGATTCC